ATTTTTACGGTTTGTTTTTACTTAAGTTATTACCTTAAAATCTCAACGTAATAAAAGTGATACATCATTTTTACGGTTTGTTTTTACTTAAGTTATTACCTTAAAATCTCAACGTAATAAAAGTGATACATCATTTTTACGGTTTGTTTTTACTTAAGTTATTACCTTAAAATCTCACCGTAATAAAAGCGATACATCATTTTACGGTTTGTTTTTACTTAAGTTATTACCTTAAAATCTCACCTTAATAAAAGCGATACATCATTTTTACGGTTTGTTTTTACTTAAGTTATTACCTTAAAATCTCACCTTAATAAAAGCGATACATCATTTTTACGGTTTGTTTTTACAACTGAACAAAATTTTGTAACTATCAATAATTTTTGGTTTAAAAATTTCACAATCAATGCTACGCACGTGGGAGTGATTTTTCCCACCCACAGAACGAGTTCATGCGTGATGGTTTAAAACTTTGTCTTTTTTTTTCCACTAAGCCTAACCATAATACAACATACTATCACGGAGTGCACGATAATGTGTAGAAAAGTGTAATAAACCAAAAATCACGTACCGAGTCATAAGCGTGTCCTTATTCTACTGCACTGTTAATTATTTAATTTTCTATCAACAAATTAACAAGGCCTATGCTGTTATAGAAACTTTTCATTGTACAGGTCGACAGGAGGAGAAAACACACGCACTTTTTCCTGTTCTGTCCAACAATTCTGTACACTATCTTGTTCGCATTGGTCTGCAGGAGTGGTGAAGCACTTCTCCACTGTATGGTCACCACCGATCTGGACGTCATCAGTTGCTTCGGGAGAGTCGGGTGTTTTTACTGAGAGAGTTGGGTTGTCTAAAATGCCAGAGCGACGACGCTGCCTTTGCTTGTATCGTCCTGACCTCGATACTGACATCTGATTTCGACTTCGTTTTCGTTCAAAACTCGGAGAATCTTTTTGATCGTGAGAGTCTTGGGCAGCGCTCACATCAGAGTTATTTGCTACTTGTTCCTTGCGGTTCTTCGGCTTGGGTTCCCAAAACTTCCAAAACGACATCGTGATAGAAATGGCTAAAGGGTTTAATTCCTCAACGCTCCAAAACGAGAAGAAATCTTTTCCTCTCCTAAAAAAAAAAAGATTTACAAACTCTTTTATAACTCTTTGATACCGAGTAATTTATTTTTACGTGTTTAATACTTGATGTTTACTGGAGAGTTTTCTTATCAGCTAAGTGTTCAAACAACACCGTCGAACTATTGGACTTCGACTCCTGTTTGAATTAGTAGTGTATGATTAGATGTTCAAAGTACGCGTCAGTTTGAAGATGTAAAATTTTCTCACCCACTTCACCACCGCCGCTACGGTTCATCTGTAAATTCAGTGTTCGATCTGTTTCGTAAGTAACACTTGACGAACGTGCAGTAGGATATACGACAGGTCAAACACTCCGAACATACGACAACCGCTTCCTAGACGTGTATCCAAGGCAACGCGTCGCTCTAATGTACTGCTGTTGGGTTAGTGAGTAAAGTGTGAGCTAGTGATCATTGTAGTTGCTGGCTGACGTTCTCAACGGGCCATAACTTATGGTCAAAGCTCGCATGTATCACACATACCTTATACAACAGGTGACAACGTCGTTCGCTTCCTATGCTGACAGAAGATTCGGGATGGTGAAAATTCCAACCTATTGTTTAGCCATCATGTAACGAGAATGGTGGGCGGAGTTTTAGCGATATTTCCGGCTTCATTGTGGAATGGGTACAGGGGATGTGGAAGTGGGAAGAGCACAGTTCGAGCTATCAAGCGTTGTTTATCAAAACGCGAGGGAATCACGTGCTTTTTATCCTGTTAGAACAAGTTGACTGATAAAACACATAGCACCTACAGTGTCTAGGGCTAGGTTACGTCATCATATATAATATACTGCTAAAGAAAAAACAAAAACAGGTGGATTTAGAAGTTACTAGCTGGTCGTATTTTCATTTATGCGATTACAGAGAAATATCAAACCACCTAAAGTGTAAACTTAGCGTCTCCTGGACTTTCAAGGATAGTATTAGACTGTCTGGGGTGGGGCGTAGCCTGGCGGTTAGTATATGTGCATTGTCAGTTCAAAGGTTCTTGTGGTAAAAAAAAACCATCAGATATCGGTACCCGCGATAGAGAGATCACACAAACCATTGTGTAACTTTGTGCTTGACAAGGAAAGATAAGCTCCCCTAGCGGTAACAATTGTAATATGTATTATTAATTTTTCTGTCAGAAACGTTTTTTATATTTGCTTATGTGTGTCTATCTATCTATACATATATGTAAATAAATTAGACTTTTCGAGGTAAATCACCTTAAAAACTACGATTGTGTTTTATTTTCTTGGCGACGTTTCAAGCAAACGCTTTTTTTTTTTCAAGCCAGAAATAAACCTTCACGGTTTTTTGAAGTTTACCTGTTCAGTAACCCGGATTTGAAAGACAAAAATCACGAACTGACAATGTCTAATGATTTGGAATGACTAGTGTATCAAATTTAAAGAATCAGCTTTTTTTTTAAAAAAAAAACGTTGTATTATTTCAGAAATATCTAGAAATAAATTGTACATGAAGATGATGTTTTCAAATAAGGCTTGTTATACTGGCAAACATCGGGAATTGAATTCTGTCTGAAAATCTGTAAAATTTAGACTTTGCTTATAAAGGAATTTTTTTTTTACTTCGTGTATTTATTACTGAAGGAAAAATTGTAGTTATCGACTGATATTAACAGAGAATGAATCGTACCAGCTGTAGAATAAAGGTGTTAAAAAATTGTTAATATTTACATAAAAGTACATTATTTCCTCTGTTTCGTAAGAAGGCGCGAAAACAAACTATGTACCATCGAGACTTTCGCTGTTCCTTCTGAGAGTTGGGTTTATTTTCTTCTTTAATTATAATAATAATAAATGAATATATAAATAACCAGGATTTATAGAACTGAGGGAAGACTATGTCGTCTTAAAAACAACAATTTAAGTACGATTTGATGAAATATGATGGCGGTTTGTAATAGCTCGACGATGTGGTAAACTAACCTGTACGGATATTGTTCACATTTGATGGTTCATCGTACTGCCTGTCTCTACCGAGTTGTCTTAGAACTAATGTACGGCCTAACACGAGTTATCAACCTGCAGTTGATCCAGAAGCTGTTATTGGAAGATAAACCATTTTTCTGTTCAACTTTCTAGTTTTGATAATAGTCGTAACTGAAAGAAAGATATCACACAATCTAGATTTAAAGGATTAATAAACAATAGAGCCAAGCGATCGAGTGTCAGTAGATTGTACCACAATCGAAACACGTAAATGTTTACCACAAAATAAAAATCAATTCTAATGTTAAGCATGGTCTGATTCTGGTTACTACTATCGTAGTCTGTGTCATAACGGTATACATAATTAAATAGTTACGTGTAGTCTGACACTGGTTTGTACTATCGTAGTCTGTGTTATAGCATTATACATAATTATATAATTACGTGTAGTCTCACACTGGTTACTACTATCGTAGTCTGTGTTATAACGGTATACATAATTAAATAGTTACGTGTAGTCTGACACTGGTTAGTACTATCGTAGTCTGTGTTATAACGGTATACATAATTATATAATTTCGTGTAGTCTGACACTGGTTACTACTATCGTAGTCTGTGTTATAACATTATACATAATTATATAGTTACGTGTAGTCTGACAGTGATTACTACTATAGTAGTCTGTGTTATAGCGTTATACATAATTAAATAGTTACGTGTAGTCTGACCTGGTTAGTACTATTGTAGTCTGTGCCATAACAGTATACATAATTAAATAGTTACGTGTAGTCTGACACTGGTTTGTACTATCTTAGTCTGTGTTATGACGGTACACATAATTATATAGTTACGTGTAGTCTGACACTGGTTACTACTATCGTAGTCTGTGTTATAGCGTTATACATAATTAAATAGTTACGTGTAGTCTGACACTGGTTACTACTATCGTAGTCTGTGTTATAGTATTATACATAATTTTAGTTACGTATAGTCTGCCTGGTTAGTACCATCTTAGTCTGTGTCATAACGGTATACATAATTAAATAGTTACGTGTAGTCTGACAGTGATTACTACTATCGTAGTCTGTGTTATAGCGTTATACATAATTATATAGTTACGCGTAGTCTGACACTGGTTACTACTATCGAAGTCTGTGTTATAGCGTTATACATAATTAAATAGTTACGTGTAGTCTGACAGTGATTACTACTATCGTAGTCTGTGTCATAACGGTATTCATAATTATATAGTTACGCGTAGTCTGACACTGGTTACTACTATCGTAGTCTCTGTTATAGCGTTATACATAGTTATATAGTTACGTTTAGTCTGACACTGGTTAGTACTATCGTAGTCTGTGTTATAACGGTACACATAATTAAATAGTTACGTGTAGTCTGACCTGGTTAGTACTATTGTAGTCTGTGTCATAACGGTATACATAATTATATAGTTACGTGTAGTCTGACAGTGATTACTACTATCGTATTCTGTGTTATAGCGTTATACATAATTAAATAGTTACGTGTAGTCTGACACTGGTTAGTGCTATCGTAGTTTGTGTTATAACGGTTTAAATTATGCAAGTGATCTAAAAAATAATAATTTTATTTAACTTGAGTACTGCTTTTAGCAAGCACACTTGCTTAATTAAAGTCGTGTCAACCAGTTAATTACTTTATCACAAAACCCTTTGTTAGCTTCACGAGAGACAACATATTTACATAAGCTAAAGAACTAATTACCAAATTTACCGACAAGTTGTAACGAAAAACATTATTAAAGTTTCAGTATATCAACATCATCTGATAATTTTATAAACTTCACAAATACACCATATTCAAAGTATAAAGTGCAGTCTACACCAAATACCCTGTCACGGTTCTTCTGGTTACATTCAGGCCCATCAGTGACAATCCTAGCATGACAGCAAATAAAATGTCTTCGGACATTAGTATTAGGCCTATTCATAATGTTAGGAAAACACGTAGGTTCAAGAAATCAATTTAACATGAAGATATGATATCTCTGAAGAAGAAAGGTCCACCTTTTGAAAGCGCACGGGTTATAGCATATCGTATTAGGCCTATTATAGTTTTTAACAGTTCATTCTTTATCTAACCCAGGGGTCACCAAACTTTTTTCACAGCGGGCCAGATAACTGAGAGAATGACGAGTTCAGTTATCTCTCAATAGATGGAGAAAAAAATTAAGAAAAAATACTTGGAAGTTCAGTTATCTCTCAATAGACGGAGAAACAAATAATAAGGAAAAATACTTGGAAGTTCAGTTATCTCTCAATAGATAAAGAAACAAATAATAAGGAAAAATACTTGGAAGTTCAGTTATCTCTCAATA